TACAGTTTTTCAAAATTTATCATCGTCTAAGTCCTGTTTCTCTTTTTTATACTATTCATCGTCCTCACTACTCATCTTTACGTCTTCATCACTCTAAATATGTTCGCATTCCATCTTCTGTTGATGGTTATTCTCCGCAAACGGTGCATGCTCCTTTTTTTTATTCAACTATTGTTGATTGGAATAATCTCCCAGAGTCAGTTATTTGTCTTTCTTCTTTAACGTCTTTCAAAACAGCTTTACTTCAGTATCTCTTCCAGTGAAACATATCGGTTATGAATTTATATTTGTTCTTTTTTTCTTATTTTTTTTTAAAAAAAAATCTTTTTACTTTCTTTTTTTTTCCTTTTTACTACTTCTGGTTCTAACGTTAGTTGTCTTGTTTATTGTTCTTTTTTTACTCTTTTGATATTACTTGGCTTGAGTTATTGTTATTACAGGTCGGTGACCTTTGATGACTTATACTTTTCGTGAATAAAACAGTCTTAGTTAGTTAGAGAGAGGGAATGTTGAGCCATGCATACAAATATTGATCATTGTCTATTTTCCACTCCGAAACGCTCTGTTTTTTGTCTGTACTTTGTAATGATGTAGTAAAGATCTTTGTACAGGTTTGATTCAAATTGTCTTCTGATACTTTGTACTCTGATATATTTTGCTGCCCCGAAAATACTTTGTTATCTACTCGCTAAATTCTTTAGTTTTTATGATTTTTCTCAGGTCAACGTCGAGGGTATTCCAAATTTTGGTGATTCTTGGAAAGAAAGAGGATTGATAATTAGTTGTTTTTCCGAATATTCGTTTTACTTTATATAAATTATTAGATCGAGTGTGATAATTTGGATTGTGCATCGGTTGAATGTATTTACATAAAAATGTTGGTGCTTGATGTGTGACAATCTTATGCATTAGTTTTAGATGAAAGATGTTAAATGTATTCTCGAATGTTGTCTATCCAGAACTAATTGTGTAGGAAATATAAAATAGAACTAGATTTTTTAACAGCATAGCTGAAGTGACTTAAAAACATAGTTAGAAGACGTTAATCGATGAAGTATTCAACTTTGATATGATTGCTTTTACTCTGTTTTTTTGTGAAAATAGATAACGTGATTATTGTATTTATTGCATATCTGTTGGTACTGAGTTGAAAAACTGACGAAAAAATATCACAACCGCAACGAGGCTATTTAGTACTTTACCTGTCCAATATGTAGTACGACGTTGTTTAAGACTTGATTAACTAAATTCATTTTTTTTTGTAGATAATGAATTTGACATTTATATGTCATATATTTATCACTTTGTTAATTACATGTTTATGTTGTGGAAGAGTTGCAACAAGAAGGGTACGATACACAATAATTATTCCTATTTGGGGCTAATCTGCATTATACTATATTTTTAACAGTTCATCAGTTGTGCCGATAACATTTTTGTAGGGAGTGAGTATTCCTCAACAATAATAATAATGTTTCTACAAAAATCTTCGAGTTATCATCAGTTTGAAAAGAACATGTTGTGTAAGTTGCTGAGCTAATCACGACAGATTCGTTGTTATTCAGGTTCGTTGGAACAAAATGGATCGATTAGACATTGAGAAATTACTTGCTTTCAATATGCAATATATCGCTTCGTGTTTCGGCATTTTCGACTATATTTTATAGTTATCTCAGATAAATTTTAGAACGAGGTATAATAAGAAGAAAACTCTGTTTTTTATAGTCTGTAAACTGTAAATTGTTATAAAATTCACAAGTAACGCTCACTGAAACACACTTAACTCCTTGACTGTAAGTAATGGCTAAGTGACTAGTAATGCTCATCTCTGAATTGCTGAACCGGCAGAATTCGTAACGTAAGCTCGCCGATACTCTGCCCACCGCTTGGAGCATGTATCATGTATTCCCGACAAAGTGCGACACCTCTCGGAGAAAGGAGTGACAAATATAATAAGGATCATACTTATAGAAGGATTTACAACCCTTATATAACAGGGTTAGGAGCTATCCCGTTTCTCCAGATTTAAGGTAAGGAAATCACCTGAGCGCTCACAGATCAATTAGGCACGATGACTGAAGGGGGTACCAGATTATTTATTATTTGCAACTCCCTAACCGACCACCCTCTAGGTTAATCTGATGACCCGATGTGGGGTTACCTTTATCCCTCTATCCATCCCTCACTGTTAAATTAAACTTATTAATAGAATAGTACCGTGCTAATAGGATTATCTCTGTAAATCAATTCGCATCTGAAGTAAAAGAGTTTCCTCTTTCTGAAGGAATTCTTTTTCTTTCGTTCCTATGCATGCGCCATCTTGTGACAAACAGATGTACAGATATTTTTCGTTTTATGATCCTTAATTTACAGTCAAAGGGTGAAAAATGCTTTGAATTTTTCTGTTCAGTGCATCTAAGCTATGGAGAAAATTCTGTTTTCATACTTTCTAGGGCACTTCGGTCTTCTTTTTATTTACACTTATTTACTTGTTAATCATATTTTTTTAATCATATTTATTTAAAGGTTAAACATAGTCTAAAAGAGTTAGATAAACGTCAATTAAACTGTTTTGCGTCACCATTATCGACTGACACGTTTAATGATAAACTATTAGCACCCATACTTGTTGAACGTGTATCGGGAACAAACGGAAATTTTAAAGTTAGACAAGTGAGCACAAAATAAAAATGTTTTCATGATAAGGAAATAAAAGAATTTTATTATTTTTTCAGCATATTATATCCACTCTGAGATCAAATGGCTTTGATGTTGATTTGGACGCATTTGATTCAAAAACACCGGTACGGAATTGTTATGCGTGTTTCGTTAGAGAGAGATTTTATACAATCATGCTTTAGTCTTTCAGGATGGTGTTGTTGAATTTACAAATATTATTGCCACATTAGATCCTACATCTAAACGTCGTCTTGTTCTTGCATGCCATTATGACTCAAAAAAATTAGTTAATTTTATTGGTGCTACTGATTCTGCTGTACCCTGTGCTATCCTCCTAGATATAGCTGTTAGTTTAAAACAACAGTTGAGCGATCTAAAATCTAAAGTAAGAATTATTAGTAATCTTATTTTGTAATTCATATTCTACGTGCCATATGTTTTTAGAAGGGTGAAATTACGTTACAATTAATTTTTTTTGATGGTGAAGAAGCCTTCAGAGATTGGACAGCAACAGATTCATTATATGGCTCAAGGTAGAAAAAAAGAATTAATGATCAGAGTTCAAATAATACTTGCTTTGTAGACATTTGGCAACTAAAATGAGAGATACCATGGTTCAAGGACAAACGAATTTAAATCAGATACAGGCTATTGTATGTAAAATAATTTTATGAAATATATTTGATTACATTCTCTAAACTGTCTTTAGGATATGATGGTACTATTAGATTTAATTGGTGCTAAAAATCTTCAATTTCAAAATTATTTTGAACGAACAACCGGACTTTACTATGAACGTTTAAAAACAATTGGTAGGAACACTATTGATCAAGTAAAAAGGAAATTGTTATTTTCTCTGTTTATAGACCATGATTTGCTGAAATTGACCAATAGTCTATCACGACCTGTGTTTACATCAAATAGAAGTCCAAATTATATTCAAGATGATCATGTACCATTTTTACAATTAGGTATGTATGTCTTTATGTAAATCTTATCTATAACTAACTGTTCATGAATTTCTATTTTAGATGTTCCGATACTTCATTTAATATCATATCCATTTCCCAATGTTTGGCATACATCTGGTGATAATGAAGCAAATTTGGATTATCCAACAATTCATCATATGCGAAATGTAATGAAAATATTTGTTGTAGAATACTTACATCTAAAACAAATAAGTTGTTAGAAATAAAGATCTGATCTGATTCCTTGAATATACTCAATCAAACTATATTTGAAACATATCAGGTAATACTCAGTTTACGATCAGTATTTTATTTTTAACTTTTATTTTGGGGTTTGTTTTATAAAATCATATTTTATTTTTAATATTATTGTTATTTCTTCACTGATTGTTATTCCAAAATAATTTTAAAAGAATAAATCGAATCCAGAAATGGACAGCTGCCAAATTTTGAGTTATTTTAGTTTTAGAAAGTGTGTATCTTGCCAATTTGATGTTGTTTTGTAGATTTAAAACTTGATTATGACACAGAATTCAGCATAAAATAAAAGAGAGTTCAGCTAGCTGTCGTCTTATCTTAACTAACACTATTGTTTCTTCTTTTATAAACATAAACGACTCTACTACTTTTATCATACAAATCATTGTTGACAGACTGACACGGAAACGTTTTCAGATAACAAATCAAAACAAAGATTTTCGATGAAATACAATACAGTTCGTAATCGGATTGGAGTAAGACTCCAATTTTATAAAAAGATAATATAGTAAAAAGGTTTAATAGACAGAATGAATATCAAATTTTAATCTATCAAAAAATACCTATAGTGTATTTCGTTAAAAATGAAATTTGTCATCTGAAAACGTTCTCTCGTTAATATTCTTGATAATTTTGTAATGTAATGGACAAAAGTTTGAGCGATTTCAGTTTTTGTTGCTTTCTTTTTAACATATCTAGACTTACCTCTCTTTGGCTAAATAATCTTCAATCACATGAGATGTATATGAGAATAGAGGTTCGACGCTTGACAGACGTTTAACAACGTGAATAAATTGATTCAATATAAAGGAAGCCATCAAAATGCTATCAAACCATTTCTACGTTAGCCATTATAGCTCAACAAGTTTTTCATTGGAAATAATTAATAATAATATTGCCATGGTGATAATTTTATCAGACGAATAATTTGAATTAGTTTACAATCACAAGATTGATGCTTTATCTGTGATTGTAACGACGACATACATGCATTTCACACTTTTACACACTTGTAATTGTATATTCACATAATTTTCTTTTTACTGTGTGCAAAGAAATATGCGTTTTGTACAAAATATTTGCGGGAATATTACATCTGTCTGCATGATATAGCGTGGCTCACGCGTCCGTGCTTGTATTTAGGAAACGGCTCTTCTTCAGTTTATTATCGCGATCATTGAATCATACAATTGCATCACTTTCGGCAGAATCGTCATTCACTAAACAAATCGTTTTTCTTGCAGCCGTTTAAAAATATGCCTATTTGAACAATTAATTAATTAATGAAAAGTAACATGCTAATAGTTATGCACAAGAACGCGACGCCAAATAATACTATTTGTTAAAGAGGAGTACAACTGACAAGAGCCCACATCTTCGTGGTATGCAATGTCCTTGACATTTATTTATAAGCTGACATGATATTTATTTTATAGAAGAAATCGATAATAAAATATTTGATAGAAAAGAAAGAATAAAAAGCAAGTTTACATCCTTTTATGTCACTAATAGTTTTTCACTCCTAAAATTTATTCTGATGTAAAACAAATTCAATAAATTAGAGAAAAATACTTATTGTAGCTTATTTTCGGTCACTTTCCTGAGGTTTTTTTTCAATGTTAAATAGCTCATTGTGTAGAGAATTATCTGGTCCACAAGATGAGTTTGTTGAACTTTTTGGCAAAACCACAGGTGTCTATTTTCGTTTACAGTGCCCACTATATCACATAGTTTTTTCTTGAACAAAAATGTAGAGAACTGTTACGTGTTTTAGCGTTACTATTTTTATGAATGTTTAGGAGTGCTTGATATTAGTAAACATTTATAAATATTTACTCTGATACACCACATCGATAGAAATTCTATCGAAATTCTACCTATTCTATCGTAGAATATGTTTACATTGTCCATTAACGTCCCATGACTAATAAGAGAAGAAGAGTAGTAATTATGTCCGATGACTAATTTTGCTGTTCTAATATAGATCTCTACTGATAAAGCATAGCACTCTCTTTGCAGCCTTAGGAAGAAAAATAGAACAGTAAGAACTTCCGAATTGGAAAGTATAGACGAAAAGTATGTTCTTAATATCATTAATTTTTTCTTTGTCAGTACGTACGTTATGTCAAAGATCGAAAAAGAGAAAATATATGAAAGAAAGAAAGAAAGAAAATAAAATATTCACCTATATGAGAGAAAAGAAAAATCTGCAGCTCAACATTTTTATTCCATCGATAATTTTGTTTATTAAATGACTGTAACAAAAGTGTGACTCAATGACCGGTAACTATATATTATGAGTCAACTGCATAGCCATTGCGTCGTTTGAGCAAAATATTGGAAGAAAACAATTGCGAATAAAAAAAATGTCTGAGTTGTACATTCAATGGAGTTCTATTGATTGTATATAAATATCATATTGTGATATATAATATTCATGGTTAATATCATGTCAGGTAAGTAGTTGCGAAAAACCAGAGGCTTTCCTAAAGTTAATCGAATCCTGAAGATTTTTGAGAAAAAAACAGACTATTATTTGAATTAAAGTATGAGTGTGACATATAACTCGATAGAATCCGATGAGATGCATCTACTGGAATATAAAACAGATCTGATGCAGATCATACGGATCATAAAAAAACCTTTCATTTTTCTTAAAGTTGTTCTTGCAGGTGGTGTTGGTACTTTTGTAACTGATTGTTGTTTTTATAATAACTTTTGTTTTTTATTTTGACGATATGTTGCTTTATTTTTTCTATTTATTTTTTCAAACGATTTTGATGCTAAACATTTTAATTTTATTTTTGTGCGATATTTTTGCATATAAGCGAGACTTTTAGTCGATTTGCGACCCATTTTTTTATCTAGAACTTTGCCAAAAAATCGTACCATACATCAGCCGATTAGCCTAACAAAGATAAGTCTTTTGATGTATTATGTGACAAAATTCTATACAGTTTCGATGGAGATATTCTCCTTTTTCTCTCATTGGACATTTTTCAAGTATTTTTTATTTTTCCAAGGACTAAAAGAGATATACCACTATTTTTTTTACCTTAGATATAGCTTCATGACTACTGCCTTCTATAAAAATTTCAAGACAAAATATTTAGTATCAGTAGAAATATGCCAGAAAAAAAACAACCAAAATCTCACTGCACCAATAGTGTGAAAACCGTCTTTTTTGAAGATGTGTAACCTTTTTCTATAGAAAAAAGCGTGCAAATACCAACTTTTTTAAAATAAAAATGTGTATCTTCAAGCCATCTTTCTTTCAGCTTTATCAGTTTTTGTTTATCTCCAAACTTCGTTGACAAAACTCGTTTTTTGTCTCACTGGACCAAAAAAATAAAAAGTGTTGAGAAACTCCTTTTTAACAATAGAGTCGTAGCAAGTAACTAATGTTAACATTAGTTATTTGCTACGGCTCTAGTAGCATCATGCGTAAAAGTGAGTTAAAAATTCAACCAAGTACATATTCTGAATGATTTCGATGCGGCCTACAATTTTCAATCTAAAAGTTAGTCAAAAAATAAACAGTAAAAAAAGAGGATTTTTTTCGATAAGCAGAATCCAAATCAAAGCTTTTGAGAATGCGACAGCTGCTTATCGAAAAACACAACAGAGGATACTGAAAAAAGGATTTTCTTAAATCGGTGTAGTGGAAGTTGATATATGTACATTTTCCTTTTTCGGATAAAACGGTACAATTGACTCACATAGGAAACGCAACAAAAAAAAAAGAAAATAATTCTGTAGATACATCTTTATTAATGGAATAACACATACTTGAACATTTTACTGATTAATCGAAAACTCTCTAAATTGGTAAGCATAACTATAGAATATGTATTTGGAATACTTTTTACCGTCTGTTGTTTATATTTGAACATCTATGAAAGAAAAAAAGAATTCGCAGATCGTGATGTGTTTATTAAGTTATTATCAGTCAATACAGTAATAATACTTTTCTTCTTACGTATATTTATTATAGATTATCCATCATATTCAAATATGGATAACTTACAAAATTTAGAACAAGAAACGTTAATAATTGATTTTAATAACGATTGGGAATGTAAACAATTTTCAAAACAATCAACTATCGATCCACTTTTAGCAATATCTAATAATATTCAGCCATGGGAACCATCAAATTTCCCAAATTCATTATCAATAAATGCATCTTTATATCGTAAACATTTTACACTTAATGAAGAATGGAAAGGAAAACAATTCTATTTAAAATTAGACGGTATAATGGCAAAGTTAAGTGTAAATATTTGGTTAAACGAAAAACAGATTGTCTATAGGGGATATACACCGAGTTTAATAAATATAGGAGACACTATTCACTTTGATATTGATAATGTTATTACAATCTATCTTAATGGTACAAGAAATTTATCCAGAAAAGGTAAACATGAGGCCCAACAGATGAGTGTAAATTTCATAGTTACAAATATTAATTCGATAACTCAGTTATACGATCGGTTAACAGTTAATAGTCATGATCGTAACGAGTCACTTAAATTATTGGATTATGCGACAAATGTTACTAATGAAGGTCGTATTGATATTGTCTTAGAAGATGATGATATTTGGGGAAGTTTTTCAGAAGATTTTTCGTTTGAATTTAAAGATCAAAACGAGACTATTTTATATGGCAAAGATTTACAGGACAAAGATCGTCTAACACTTGGTCAATACATACCACATATTGCTATTTGTATCCTCGTTGTCGGAAGTCGCGGTGATGTACAACCGTTTGTTGCTTTAGGCCAAGAACTGTTGAAAGCTGGTCATCGCGTAAGATTAGCGACGCATGAGATATTTCGACAATTTGTGAAAGAAAACGGTCTCGAGTTTTTTCCATTAGCTGGTGATCCTGCTGAATTAATGACGTTTATGGTGAAAAATGCAGGACTCATTCCATCAGTGAGCAGTATCATGGCGGGGGATATAGAAAAAAAACGAAAACTCGTAGCAGAAATAATGGAGTCAACATGGCGCGCGTGTATCCAACCAGATGAAGATAGTCTTTTACCATTTACAGCTGAAGCGATTATTTCCAATCCTCCAACATTCGGACATATTCATTGTGCACAAAAACTCTCTATTCCACTTCATATTTTTTTTACAATGCCGTGGAGTCCTACAGGAGCATTTCCACATCCTTTGTGTAATGTTGACTATCGAAAAGCTCCTGCAGCGACAATCAATTACATGTCTTATGGTGCTGTGGAAATGTTAACGTGGACTGGTATGAAAGATTTAATCAATAATTTTCGTAAAAAAACACTACAACTTGAATCACTATCAACATCAAAAGCTCTTCATCTAATGGAATCAGAAAAAGTGCCGCACACATATTGTTGGTCTCCATCATTGATCGGCAAACCCAAAGATTGGGGTAATCATATTGACGTTTCTGGCTTCTTTTTCTTGGATCTGGCAACGAATTTTACTCCACCTGACGATCTTGTCCGATTTTTGAATGCTGGGGCGCCTCCTATTTACATTGGATTTGGTAGTATTACGGGCGATGACCCTGTACGTTTGACCAATACCGTGCTAGAAGCTGTCAAATTAGCTGGTTGTCGTGCAATTATCTCGAAAGGCTGGGGTGGTATTGGCGATGGTATTGAATTACCAGAAAATATTTATCTCATTGGAAATTGTCCTCATGACTGGCTATTTCAACATGTAGCTGCAGTTTGCCACCATGGTGGAGCAGGAACAACTGCAGCTGGACTACGACTTGGTAAACCGACTATTGTTGTCCCATTTTTTGGAGATCAGTTCTTTTGGGGCGCCATGATTCACAAGATTGGTGCCGGTCCAGCTCCTCAACATGGCAAAAATTTAAAAGCATCTAAGTTGGCTGATGCATTTCGTCTTGCTCTCGAACCAGAAACTCAACAGGCTGCTCAGCGTTTATCTGAACAAATGAAAAAAGAAAATGGTGTTGCTGCAGCTGTTCGGTCATTTCATACTCAGCTTCCGTTGGACAAAATGATAAGTGATCTAGAACCAAGTTTTCCCGCCTCATTCTATCTTCCTGACTACGATCTGAAAATCTCTCTTCAAGTTGCACAAGTCCTCGCGGCAGCTACAGCCATCCAAGAATCGGAACTTAGGGTTTATCATGTTAAAACGTGGGAAATTCGTGATGATCAAGGTCATTTACCTTCATATGGGATTTATAAACATGGAACAAAAGCATTTTCAAGTTTGCTTGTTGAATCGGTTGATGGATTTAAGAAGGCGTGGAATGCAAAGGATTTAATAACAGGTTCAACAGAAGCAGGAAAAGGGCTTGCAAAAGGCGTTGGTAAATCACTTTTTCACACATCTGTTGGTATATTTTGTTTGTATGGTGAGGTGACTGATACTCTCAGCAAACTTCCCTCGTTGTACGATCCTTACCATATTTCGCGACCGCGTCCCGTTGTCACAGATATTATGTCTGGAGCTAAGGCTGGTGGACTGGCTGCGTGGCACGGTTTGAAAGACGGTGTTCAAGATTTGTACAAGAAGCCGTTAACAGGTGCAAAAAAACATGGTCCCTTTGGTTTTACAGCCGGTGTTGTTGTCGGACTTGTTAATGCAGGCTATAAACCAGCTGTAGGTACTCTGAGTAGCTTAACATGGATTGGTAGAGGGATTTACATGTCGTCGAAAGAAGCTATCAAAGGAAAGAAAGCTGAGCTGGTGTCATTATCAACAGTATCACGTAGTCAAAATTCATCGAGAGAAGATTTGTCATCAATAGATAAACTTGATGATTCACTAGAAGGTTTAGCAGCCGTCAGATCTGGTTATACCAAAGAGGTATGTCGTACAATTTTACAGAAGTTTGAACAGATAAAACTAAGAAAAAAACTCCAAACGCCGATAAGAAGTAGCGTAGAATATCAACATAAACAAAATCGTAGTCCAGAGAGTACGATTAGAAATGTTCGTCCAAAACGAAGCCGATCGTATGCACCAAGTACAGGCAACACAGGATAATTGCGTTATGCGCAAATTCTTGTCGGATAAAAACGGAGTTCTGGCTGTTATTTTTTTCCAACGAAAGTATCGTTTTCGGATTACAAATATTAATCCGTCCCAAGTCCAGCAATGTATTTGGTCCTATTATGAAACTCGCAAACGTTTGATCGTCCAAGTAGTTGATTGTTGTAACAAGTTTCACATTTGTTTGTGAATTATTCATCCAGGTTCTTTGTTCTTTTATCATATATGCGTTATTTACCTGCAAGTTGAATAAGCAAGGTCCATCGATTTTCGTTACTTTTCTGTGATGCTAGAAATGAATTTTTCTAGAGATTTTTCGTAACTTTTGAAAAGAAATTATCGTACTATAGTCAATTTTTAGCAGTTTTCATTTTTTTGTTTGTAAATATTGTACAAAATAATTTGTTTATTCTAAACAGCAGAGCATTTAAAAAGAAAGTAATTTTATCTGTTGGTGTTTTATAAAGAGAAAATTGAATGTTTGCGAGTGTTGTCGAACATTTGAACTAAAAATGATGACGACTCGCAGCTTTCGCTGTTGATAAAAGGTAATGGAATAAACTTATGGAAAAAGAAAGTGAAAAGTACTACCTGTAGGTGTTGGACCTGATAAGTCTTTGAAAGAGTGGATTGCCTTGAATTATTGTCCCCTAGCGCGCCTATGTCTGACGAGGAAACCTCTCGAGGTGATAAAACACTTTTTGATCGAAATCTAGTGGGTTATAGCTTATCGATCATGCTGATTCCGAATATGACCATGGGGCTTTCTCTTAGTCCTTCGAAGATCGGTTTTGTGGATTTCCACAAAACCGAT